TTCCAGAAAGTTTAAGAACCTTGTCTTCCACATCTGATATTCTCCTCTCCTCAGGATTGGAGGTCTGTTTTCATTTCCAAGTGCCAACGCTTCCATCCTTGCTGTTTGACTTTGAAAGACCGTTCGAGTGATTTGATCAGAAAAGTTAACTTACAGAATATCGAAAACCTAGTTCAGGAAATAGTTCGAGAAGTAGAGTTCGAGAAGTACTATCGAGAAGCAGTTTTCGATATTTGATATCGAGAACCTTACTATCGAAAAGTGGGTTCGAGAAATAGCTATCGAGAACCTCAGTATCGAAAACTTAAGTTCGAGAACTTAGTTTTCGAAGGACTGAGTATCGAGAAGCTAATGTCGAGAACCTGCAAATACGAAAAGTAAGATTTCGATATGGAGTATCGAAAACTGAGTATCGAGAAGTTAAACCTCGAGAACTCAGTTCGAGAACTAGTATCGAGAATGTAGAGTCGAAATCCTGCAAATTGAAAAACAATTTTTAAACGGATAAAATTGCTTTTCACTGAAGTCCTTGATCTCGAAAACCTTCCTGTGCAGTTTGTAGCTCGAAAAACCTGCTGTAACTTCGAGAACCCTGCTTTTCGATATCAATATATCGAGAACCTCAAATCTGAAACCTTAACAAATCAAAAATCTAAGATATATTGCTTGCTCGTTTTTTAGAGGCGATTTCAACAGTATAAATTTTACAATTTTTCCATCAGAAGAGAGATTACAACGATTAAATAAGTAAAATATCGAAAAGACGAAAAACAGGGGACTTCGAAAACTTTTTGACGACGATCACACTCGAGCAGGCTCTGATACCAGTTGTTGGTCCCAGATTTCTGTAGACTAACACACAACTAGATGGATATCATCGAATAACAGAGAAGAACGATCTCACAGAATGATTTATGAAATATCGAGAACTTTGGAAATCGTCTTTCTATTATATCGAGAAGAATTTTAGCAACGTAAGGCTAGAGTGTATTAATCGATATCGGAACCTGTACAGAACGCGCATATTTATAGGCGCTGTACAGGTTACCGAATTAGGTAAACCTTGGGATTTGGGCCAAGGCCTTTTTGGGCCTTATCCCCTTTAACCCATTTATTACAAAATGATTACTAATCTAATACCATAAATGGTATATCTAGTCTACTTTATTAAACAAGACATTACAGACAAACTTGACTCACAATAAAAGTTCTAACACTAGCATTGAAGTAAGAAAAGCATTATTTACTTTTCCCCTATTGGGATATTTTCAGGCTTTGGTGACTACAGTTATAGATTTTTAGCACCGTAATTCACATGTATATGTTATAAAACGACAGTGTATATATGGGGCTAAAATTGTCAATGGTTCCCATGTACTCCATAGCAGTCACTGTGAACACATACAAATCAACATATGGAAAGCATAAAATTTTGAAACCCGTCATGTATGACCAGCTAATTAAAGTTTACACCTACTAAAATCTTAATATGTGAAACTTACCAAAATTTGAGACCCAAGCAGTCCAAAAGACCTACGGAAACGTAACTGTGGCTAAAAGTGATAATTCTTAACAACCAGACCCTAGGTCACTAGGTCATGTGTGCAACTTTTGTAACGGCTGCGCTAATAGGTGAACTGTGTGCAAAACAAGGAGCTATGAAAATCTTTATTTCTCATTTGAGATAACGAAGCTGCAAATGGCGTAAACGGGAAGAACGAAAAGGAAAGATGGAAGCGTAATTAGAGACAACAACATGTGGAACGACCGAGTGAATTCAGCCCATTTGGATCAGAAGAAGCAGTGGCGTATCCACTATGGGGGCAGCGGGGGCAGCTGCCCCCACTCAACCCCAACTCAACCCCTATATATATGTCCAAATTTTTACAAGAAATTGCTCAAATTAAGAGTTAAATGTAGAAAAAAAATTCTAAAATAGGATTAGAAGTGTTTTCTTTAATATTAAAAGAATGAAAGGCTAAAAAATTCACTAAATTATGTTATGACTTATGTTTAAGACTGTTTAACTTATATTTAGGTAAATTTATTACATTTTATTTGCAATTACATCTTTACACACCAGTAATATAAATTAATCTTCTTTTTTTTCATACTTGTACATAGATATTATAAACTAAATTTAATCAAACAATATTAATAATGTGATTTGTTATTTGTGAAATATGAGACTAAATTGTAGTCAAGTTTGCCCCCACTCGCCAAAGTTTCTGGATACGCCACTGAGAAGAAGTAAACACATAGTAGATCATGCCAACAATTGATGACCAGAGAAAAAAATGAAAAGATGAATAAACCATATTTGGTAGAGATCATAGAATGGACGTTAAAGGATGCAAGTGCAAAGTGGGTAAACTCAAGTGTTTGATTTGACAGTGAACTAACGGGAATACCAAAGAATATCAAATACTGCGTACAATGTACAACCTCTGAATTGAATGATACAATGACATATAGCATTAATTAATGTACACCAACACATTTTTAATACCTAAGTAACTCTTACCATCATTCACCTTTATAAGATTGTGTATAGATAATATATGCATGCATGCATGTGTGTGTCAGTGTGTGTATAACTCCATTACATAATTATATTATATAACTCCATTACATAATTATATTTATATGTATATTTCGTATATAGTATGTATATTATCTATTACGAAGTATTATATAATTATATTTATATGTATATATCATATACAGTATGTATATTAGGGAAGTGTTCTCCTAAGGTAGACTTAAAACTTACAAGTTTTAGGCCTCTTTCATTTGAAGTGCTTCCGGGTCAAATATTTTTATGAAATTTTGAGAGCATGTTCTCCTGATGTGCATGTTATGTCCACCAAATTTCAACTTAAAACTCAATCGGGAAGTCAATTAACTAAATTATTGAAAAAAACTGCATGTTATATGTATAAAAAACTGGCCAATTTTCAAAAAATTATTTAAGTGACTTCCCGATTACATTTTAATCTGAAATTTGGTAGATATAATATAAACTTCATGGAGAACATTCTCACAAAATTTCATCAAAAAATTCATCCCGGAAGCCCCTTAACTGAAAGAGACCTAAAATTTTAACTTTTAGGCCTACCTTACATGAATATTTTCCATGTATATTATATAATATTTTATAATTATATTTATATGTATATTTCGTATATAGTATATACATGTATATATACATATAATTGTAGCAATTAGTTAACTATAAGTATAAACTATAAAGTATATACTATGTTTAATGAATTAATGTATCCATAATTAATTCATGTAAATAGTAAGATAATATAATTAATATCTATAATATATAATATAATGTTAAGAGTATATAACATAATGTTAAGAGTACATAATATATGACTATACTACTACAAAATGAGTAGTATAATTATATGTAATACCCTAATATATATACTTAATACGGAGTATTATACTCGTATATTTAAATTTAAGTAGATATAAATATATTATTATGACGTAGAGAGAATTAGAGAATAGGAGTCTGAGAGAATAGATGTAGGAAAATTTTGGAAATAGAAGATATTTGTGGGTTTTCAACCCCCACCCCCAATCCCCCCCCCCCCCCACCGAAAAGTAAAAAAATTTAAATAAAAAAAATAAATGTCAACATGTCCCAATTCAACTGGGACCAGGACCGTCCAGTCCGGTTCTCGTTTTTCAAACCTGATACTGGGCCTGCCAGATACCCGATCGGGTACCCGGTTCAACATCGGAACCGCGATCCCGGTCCCGGACCGCCGGTGGGTCCATCCTTAGTGTGTAACTGTGTATTGAAAAATTCTCATATGCTATAAAAATACTAAATATTCCAATGTAACAAAAAATGTTGTGTATAAAAAAGTATTACCTTTGTTCTTTTTAATTACAACATTGATGAATGTTGCACTATTCACATACTCTATTTTGATTATATTTTATTTATTCATGTATTATAAATTAAATTTTTGAAAAATGTTATTAAATTCTTCTCATTTTAATTTTTCAAATCTGATTTATTGTATTTTAATTTTATTTACTAATAGAGAATGAAAGATATTAATGGTCTAACTTGTGTGTTGGAAACCGTAAAAAATGGACCATCTATCTATTTATATATAAGAAAAGAAATAACTCATAAAAATGCAATTTTACCCTTAATGAATCCCAGGTGTCTAGCCCTCCTTAATTCACTTCTTAACTATAGCAATGACACGTGGCCATTTGCACTTGAAAATACCGAACTCTCCAATTTTGAAACAAAAAGTCTCTTTGTACACCTTCTTATACCCATTAGTACACCATATATAAAGCCCAAAGTAACAGAAAAAAATTACCTCCTTTCCCACCTCAATCCCATGTGCTCCAGTCTCCCTCCCCTCCCAAAAAATTTCAACGCTCCCCTCCCAAAACATCTGTCGCAAGTGGTCTTCTCCACAGGTGAAGCTATTTTTTTGGGGTCGTGAATCGCGTTGCTTGTTGGAAGACACCATGGGAGATGTTAACGATGACGATTTTTGGGCTTTCTGGGATGCAACTGTTGGAGGCGGAGATGATGGAGCTCACCAAACCGAAGGAACACCGGTAGTAGCTGGAGAAGGTGGCGGATAGACCTCCGCAGCTGCAGGACTTGAAGGACAGACCTCTGGAGCTCACCAAACTGAAGAAGATGACAGAAACAAGGCCCAAATTGGAGAAGATGACCAACCGACGTTGGAGGCTTCCATGGACGTCGTGTATGAACTGGGTAGGACTTCATCTTATTCGTATTTCGTTTCTGTGGATGTTGTAGATTGGTCATGTATGTTTGTATAGTGTATGAACCTTTGTCTGTGTATGTTGGAACAAGTATCTGTGTTTGTCTGTGAAATACTTAAAGTTGTCTGTATTTGCATATACTGTCTGTGTGTAGCACAAAGTTGTCCGTATGAATAAATTATTTATTCTTTTTTGAATTGAATATTGTACCATGACAGATGCACATGGTCAGAAAAAGGATATTGAAGCTCCAGATGTTGGTATGAAGTTTGTTACAAAAGAAACCGTGTAGATTGGTCATGTCTGTGTAGTGTATGAAGCTTTGTCTGTGTATGCTGGAACAAGTATCTGTGTTTGTCTGTGAAATACTTAAAGTTGTCTGTATTTGCGTACATGGTCTGTGTATAGCACAAAGTTGTCTGAATAAATTATTTAATTTTTTTGAATTGAATATGGTACCATGACAGATGCACATGGTCAGAAAAAGGATATTGAAGCTCCAGATGTTGGAATGAAGTTTGATACGAAAGAAGCCGTGTATATTTTTACAAGTTTAAAAAGAAGCCGTGTACATGGGGTTGAGGTGGGGAAAGGGCTAATTTTTTTTTTTTTACTTTGGGCCTAATATATGGTGTACTAATGGGTATAAGGTGTACAAAGAAACTTTTTTATTTTGAAATGGAAGGGGTCAGCCGTAGGAGATGCAATTGGTGGGGCCCAACCTATAATAAACCCCAATTTTCTTTAACGTATTATAACTTTTTCATTTTTGTTTCAAGTTTTACAAAAAATATATCAAATTTCATAATTTTGTGTGATCTTTCATATGAGATCAATATTGAATATATACAAATATAATTTATTAACGGTCTCTATAATTATGCCAAATATCTATATTCAATTTATGATCTATTTTGTTGTTTGAATATGGAAAGTTACTGTATGTGATTATTTTAGCTACTTTTCATATAATGTTTTTCTTTATTTCATTAATAAAATTATTTTAAATTAAATTTATCCATAAACCAATAGATTCGACTAATTCAACCACTTCTCTAAAAATTTCATCCTTTTCAAGAGATTTAACCAGTTTCAGTACTACTAAACGGTCTTTAAAATCAAAATCAACTCATTTAAGGAAAAATATAAAATACTAAATTTATTTAAGAATTTTTTCTTAAAGTGTTTTATGATTTGATGTGCACTGGTTTGATGTATAAATATCGCAAATGAAAATCTAATTAGTTCTAATAAAAAAACTTCGAGTTGGTCTATTTGGTTCTGTTTGAGTTGGTCTAAATTGAAAACGATGAGTATTTTGAATTTATCAATCTTACGAATAATAAAAATCTAATATTATTTTCATTTTTTGTATTCTACTCCCTTCGTTAAACTGTGACAAACCTTATTTCTTCCTATTATAATGTCACTCGAGAATAAAAAATTAGCAAATGAAAATGATAATCACATCAGTGCTAATAAAATAAAACTTCAAAATTTAGTTCAATTTATTATTCATTATTTTTTAAGAAAAAGGGGCAAATATGAAAATATAGATTTATCATTTGTGGTTTGTTTTAAACAGAAGTTACTTCACAAAATCATTTTTAACTACTTTTCATATAATTTTTTATTTACTTCATTAATGAAATATAATTTAAAATAAGCGGGCGAACATTTTCTCTCATATGTAGTTCTTTTAAGTATAAAATAAGATAATCAGACTAACAATTGAGCGGAAGAATTTTCACTATCATAGTGGTCCTATTTTGGAATTCCCAAATTTGTTTATTTACTCCTATTTAGGGCAATTTCCCTATTATTATTACAAAATAGAAGATAAGGTTGCTAACAATTGAACGAAGAACTTTCTCTCTCATATGTAGTGCTCCTAGGTATTGGAAGACAAACTTGCAAACAGTTAAGCAGTGAAATTGAGCAGGATAATTTTTCTCTCATATATGTGCTTTTAGGTATGAGAAAATAAGTTTGCTAACAACTGAGCGAGAAAACTTTCTCTCTCATATGTAGTTCTTTTAAGTATAAGGTAAGTCGCTAACAATTGAGCGAAAATTTTTTGTCTCTCATATTTAGTGTTCTTGGTTACAAGATAAGTTGGCTAACAATTCAACGTTATTCTATCTTTCATGTGTAGTGATTTTAGGTTAAAGAAGATACATTTGCTAACAATTGAGCGAGAGAATTTTGTCTCTCATATGTAGTGCTTCTAGCTAGGTATTACCACATAAGCTTGCTAACAATTGAGTGAGAGAATTTTCTCTCTCGTATGTAGTGCTTTTAGGTATTAGAAGATTACAAATAAGCTTACTAACAATTGACCGGGAAAATTTTCTCGCTCAAATGTAGTTCTTTTAAGTACTCCATATAAGATAAGCTGGCTCACAATTGAATGAGATAATTTCCTCTTTCATATGTAATGTGTATAAGTATATGAAAACAAGAAGATAACATTCCTAACAATTGAGCGAGATAATTTTCTCTCATATGTAGTTCTTTTAACAATTGAGTTAAAAAGTTTTCTCTCCCACATGCAGTGTTTTTAGGTATATAATGTGACACCGCACCCGAACGTCCTTGAAAAATTCCATTCTTAAATTCAAAGTGATGTATTGAATTTCCGATTTCAAAACAATGGAAAAAACGATTAATGTTTTACGTAGTACATGATTGAATATTGTATTGTTCAAACCCGTATTCTTTTATAATTTTCATCATGTAAATTATTGAGATGATCCTACACATATTGGAGATCAATAATGTGATGTAAGAAGTTGACTTGTTCTAAATAAATTAGGATGAGTACAAAAAGACATCTTTTGACAAAGATAAAACCATAGGACCCATCTTTCCATTTTTGGGAGTATTGGTAGATATTTTGGACCCCATATAATTTGGACCCATCCTTAATTGAGCTAGCACTTTGGGGAGGCGGTTTAACACTCATATTTAAGCAAGGAATCAGTTCTTAATCCACCGTGGCCAAAGCTTTGACCATTGGATCAAGAAGGAAAAGTTTAAAGCTCAATTAAGGTGAGGATTGACATCTAATTGCTTACAACTTGTAGGTTAAGCATGAGATTACCTAAATGCTTAAATCATTATTTTTCATGGATTATGATGATTATATATTGATGAAATATTGATATAGTTGCCAAAGAATGAAATTTGAAATGATTTGAGAATGTATGAATATTATGAGATCAAATGAGTATAAATGAACTATTTTTTGTGAAATAGGCATTTTGCTCATGTATGAATTATGTGGTTACATAAATGAATATTTGTGTATTGAGATTGAATACTTAAGTTGCTGCTACATAATTATAAATATGTAGAGAATTACAAATAATGAGGATAATGGTATGATAACAATAATCTTAATAGTATTGAAATACTAGTAGTGATTATTGGAACTTGTTGATTAAATTGATCCTAGGGATTGGATTGTACGAAAGGTACTTGAATATAGTTCAAGTGTATATAATAACTTAGTACGGAACTAAGGTTAAGTTATGGGCAGTCTTTAAGAATGACCCATGGTAGTTTAATGATATGTCAATTCTAGGCATAGGGTTGCTTGAGAATTGGACCTTAATGCATGGTGATGTGATAGAGCCGAGCTCTAGAATGCATGTAAGGTGTAGACTTGGAGTCTATGTATTGTATAGCTAGAACCGAGCTCTAGGGCTTGCGTGGTGATGTGATAGAGCCGAGCTCTAGAACGCAAGGTAAGGAAATCGACCCGAGTGACATGAATTGTATGGTGATGTGGTAGAGCCGAGCTCTAGAATACAATGTCATGTGTTAGGGTTGGACTCTATTGAGTTGTCGTGGTTTGTAGCCACGGGGAATGGGAATGGTTATTTCTAAATGAACATGGGCCCACGGGCCGACTACTTGACTTTTACATAAAGTGAGTATACTTTCAAATGGGTAACTTAGGGTTACAAATCATAATATACTATCACCCTATTTGAGGGTCTTGTGTTTGAAATACTTGTTGTATATCTATTAGATGCCTGCCACACCAGTACTTTATAGCCGTATAGAGTACTGACCCCTTCGGGGGCGTCCCACCACCATTTCAGGTTGAGGCTAGAGCTTGCTTCCTGTGCTCGTTGCCCGAGTGATTTTCCCGGAGAGAAGACTTGGTTCGTGCTTCCTCCATTCTGTTTTAGAACATTAATAAACATGCTCATGGATATTTGACTTTAGGGCCTGCGTGCTCATGTTTGCCCTGTGTGGCCCTTTTGTTTTAAACAATGTTTCCCGCTGCGTATTGAATTGTTTATTATGTATGTTTATGGATGACTTATGTGTGAATGATATTCATGACGTCTTGTATAATATGAATGTGTTGGACTGCGGTTGACCATTCGTATTATACGGCGGGTTGTTGACGTGTCCGGGGAGGTCCGGGGCGTGACATATAAGAAGATAAGAAGATAAGCCGGCTAAAAATTGAGCTGGAAAATTTCTTCTCTCATAAGTAGTACTTCGTACTTTGGATATAAGAAGATACGTTTGCTAATAATTGAGTGAAAGAATTTTCTTGCTCATATGTTGTGCTTTTAGGTATTAGAAGATAAATTTGCTTACAATTGAGCGGAAGATTCTCTCGTCATATATGTAGTGTTTTTAAGTACAACGTATAAGATAAACCATCTAACAATTTAGCAGGGAAATTTTTTCTTTCATATGTTAGCACTAATTTAACTAATGAGTAGCAAGTTTTTATTTAAGTAATATCATTAATTTTAATATTTATTGTATTCACTTGATGTCACTCACTTATTGTAATCACTTTTTAGAGTAATATTAATTTTAAAGGGGAAAAGGTACAAATATACCCCTGTAGTATGAGTGTGAGAACAAATATACCGTGTTCTATTTTTCAGAACAAATATACCCCTGAAATATTTTTGAAAGTGCGTATATGCCCTTGAACTTTCACTACAAGAAAATTGACTTTCTGCGACAAACAATTTGCGACCAACACCAAATATAATCACAAAATGTATATTAATTGCGACCATTTTTTATATGGTCGCAAATATATGAAAACCGGTTTTACTTTTGGGACCGTCTTATTATCCCTTCCCTATCTTGTTAAATTCTGGCCGCTAAAACTTTTCCTAATCCCGCGGCCCACTAAATTTTCTGTCGCTGCACCAAATTGGATTCGCGCCTAGGGATGGACTCGGGCCGGGCCAACCGGCCCGGAACCGGACCGGCCCGCTACTGTGCGGGCCCGGACCGGCCCGGTCAACCGGTTCGGTTCCGGTTCGGGCCTCCAGGCCCGGTGGTATACCGGTCCGGGCCCGGGCCTCCAGTTTAGTGAACCGGCCCGGCCGGGCCGGGCCCGGTTCGGGCCGGAATTTAATTTTTTTTTTTTTTTTTGAAATTTTTTTAAGTTTTGGGTTGGATTAGGTATTTTGGGCCATTTGAGGTGGTTTGGGGTGGTTTGGGGTGGAGGGGGAGGGGTAGGGGGTTAAATAAGAGAAGAAGAAGAAAAAAAAAAACATTCCGGGTGGCCCGGCCCGGCCCGGCCCGGTTCTGGCCCGGAACCGGAACCGGAACCGCCCACCACCGGTTCGGGCCCGGGCCTCCTTTTTCTGAACCGAGGCCCGGCCGGGCCCAGGCCCGAACCGGGCCCGAACCGGAACCGGTCCACCCCTATTCGCGCCCGCCTAATTTCAATTTTTCCATTTTTCCCTTTTCTCCAAAGTAAACATCAAACCAATGTTGCACGGAAACGCAAAAATCATGAGGAAACGGGAAACAGGAAACGTCAAATTTTGCTCAAAAAGGCTTGTTTGGAGAGTTTCCGTAGAGTTTCCATTGAGTTTCCGAAACGGAAACGTACTCTTTCCCGAGAGTTTCTGTGCTACGTAGCATCAAACCCTCCCTCCTCCCATAGAAACATTGCATCGGGCGTAGCCTCTCCCTGCTACTGGTGCGCCCGTAGCCTCTCCCTGTAACAGTGCCGTAGCCATCTTCTATTGATAAAATATGCCCTTCATATTCTTATAAAGGAGCAAATATACCCTTATTAACTTTAGATTGATAAAATAAATTTAAAAAAAAATCCAAAGATAAATTATAAATTCAACATTAAAAAATAAAAAAATAAAATAAAAATGTACTTGAGTCCAATTCTATCTTTTATTGATTGTATATCACATTTAAATATAGTTAGTAGAAAATTTTATTTCAAAACATTACTATATATTTAAGATTCTTAAAAGGTACAAATATGCCCCTCATATTCTTATTAAGGAGCAAATATTCCCTTAGTGACTTTAAATTGATAAAATAAATTTCAAAAAATACCAAAGAAAAATTATAAATTCCACATTAAAAAACAAAATAAAAATAAAAAATGTACTTGTGTTAAATTCTCTCTTTAATTGTTTGTATATAACATTTAAATATAGTTAGTGTAAACTTTTATTTCAAAACATTACTATATATTTAAGATTCTTTCGAAAAAAGTGTTCACATATGTGTTCCAATATAAAAAAGAGATAATTACCCAAGGTATGATTAAAACTTCCCAACTTTTCCAATCTATGACCCAATTAGTTTTTTTTACCAAAATAACATTAAAATTAATAAAATTTAAATAAAGTTCGTAATAAATAAATAAATAATTTAGGTAGACAAATATACCCTTTAGGTTATATATATAAAACCCTAAGCTTCTGCTCTTTTCTCCTAACCTCAGCCTCCATTTTCACACCTCCATACATCCACCCGCCTGCAGCCGCACGCCTGCCGCCGCTGCCGCCCAATGGCCCGCCGTCTTCCGCCGCCCCATAGCTTGCCATCTGCCGCCGCCCCATGGTCCGCCGTCCAGGAGCACGATCGCAGGCCAAATGTGGTTCTAGGGCTTAATCGGCCACCTCAGCCCCATGCTTGCTCGCCGCATCCACCGTCCACACCGACGCACTAGCCCGGCCACCGTCGTCATTAGACATGTGCGCCGCCACCGTTATCCCTAGATGGGTCTTTTTTGTTCCGCTTTTTTTACCCTCAAATCTCTTCTCTTCTTTACCCGGCCCCCAATACCCTGTCTCTGCGTATCTATACAATGATGGCAGCTTTCGTTGAAAAGTTTTTTTTTAATTTTATGATGAAGATGAGAGCAATTGATGCGAGTAGCGAGCAATCGATGAAAACTGAAAAGACAGACCACTCATGTTTTGGCCCGCGTGCTTTTGATGCAAGATGAGATGGGTTACGTGAAGATAGGTTTGTACCATTAAATATGATTTTTAAAATTAAGGTTTTTGGCATTAAATATTGGCAGTGAATACAACAATATATATGTTGTACATGACAGTAAATAAATGCGTTAAAAAAGTTTGTTGCACAGTGATATGACCGGTTGTGCAGTAACATAGATCATTAATTTTGCCATGAAACACAAAATACTCAATTAGACGTAAAATAATAAAAAATTATTAAATTTAAAAAAATAAAAAATAAAAATTATACATAAATTCGTAAAGTGAATGAGAAAGGGATTAATTTTGACGGAAGTGCAGTGATTATTACCATATGTGCATTAAGTTTTTTTTTTAATTTTAATATTTAATTAAATCATGAGTAAAAATATATGCATAAACTGCTTTTTCTCGTGCGTATGTACGAGTACTATACTAGTTGCAACTAGAAGAGAACATAGGAAAGATTTCATAATTTGTAGAATATTTGTTCATGCTATGCGTTTTACTACAGATTTTTAATTTAATTATGTTCTTGTGAAAATCACATTAATTTTGAATATATATTTTTTTTGGCATAATTAATTTTGAATATATTGGATAACACAATTATACAATTGCAAAAATATCTCATGCATCGTACGAGTAATGACACACGTTTCGTGAAAAGAAAAACATACCATCCATGTATATAATCAGAGTGTTTCAAAATGCTTATTCGACAAGTACACAAAAGTTAAAACATTTATAGGGAGGTTATTTTAGTTACTGTGATATAATTGCATAATCACTTGCATGTAAAAATTGGATATGTTATTAGGACTTAGTTATTACAACGGTCACTACTCTTAAGTCATATTTTTAGCCATATATATATGTATGGATGTATATAATTATTTCATACATGAATACAAATTGAACTTACTATTTGAGAATACGCAATAAACTCAAAAAGAATGCAACCACACCTGTAAAGGATTCGAAGGACACAGTCAACTGAGCAACACCGGAACAGAAAAGAGCTAAACTCCATTCTCCTCTCTTCTTGATATCATTCTCTCTACCAACTTCTCCACAATCAACTTAATTGCAGGGGCACTTGCTGGGCACTTGTTATCCGTAAAACAAGATCTTCCTTCCTCAGCCGCCTTACCGAGCTGGGGATCCAAAGGCACGGCACCAAGAAACGGAACACCCATATCACCGCACATTGCAGCGGCCCCACCCCGGCTAGTGTCAAACACTTGGCTATAAGCAAACACGTTCAGCATTTCTGGCGCCTTCTCCCTCATACACTCCATGACCAAATCCGTAATATCCACCTGGTCCCCACTTTCAGTAATCCTCTTAAATTTAAACTCCGATAACGGCTGGCAAAGACCACTCATGTTCTCAACAACTCCAAGAACGGGTAGCCCAACTTTCTTGCAAAAGCTTATTTCCTTCCTCACGTCTATGAGAGACACTTGTTGTGGGGTAGTGACGATGAGGGCCCCGTCTATTCCTGTTGACTGGAGGAATTGGACGATGGAGATGTGTTCATCTGAAGTCCCAGGTGGGGCATCAACCACAAGAAAATCAAGATCGCCCCAATAAACATCCTTTAGGAACTGTTTGATTAAACCATTCTTGCGTGGCCCCCTCCATATGACGGCCTCATCAGGGTTAGGGAGCATGAATCCAATTGACATGACACCGAGGTTGGACTCAACATAGACCGGGGACCATCCAAGGTTGCTCTGGTGAATCTCTTGACCTTCTAGACCGAGCATCTTAGGTATACTTGGACCGCAGATATCAATATCAAGGAGACCAACTTGGAAATCCATAGCAGATAGTGTGAATGCAAGCTGGGCAGAGAATGTGCTCTTTCCAACCCCGCCCTTTCCCGATAAAACAAGTATCTTGTGCTTCACTGTTGCCATTCTTTCTACTATTGCTACCAAATCTAAAACCAGAAGTATTATATTAATTTCTGCTTTAAAAAACTCCATGTGCTGTTGCATTTACACATCAAACATTATTTTATGATAGACGGCTTATATTAAAATCGAGAAAACATGCAACACAATCTCGAGACCGTTATTACATATCCGATCATAAGTCGTACGAATAGATAGAGTCAATCAGTCATCACCATATACAAAGCAAACTAACTCGCTAGACACAAAATGAACAATTTTAAGCCTAAAACGACCAGAACTGAAGCACTGCATATCAAAAGTACTTCAAATATTCAAATATCCAAACCAAACCTACTCGAACTCTTAGTTTTAAAAGGCATGAGGCGGCTTGAGGCGATTTCATTGATATACCTGAGGCGCGAGGCGCTAGGCGGTAAGGCGCGCGCCTCACGGATCTCAGCCACATTTTTTTGGTGAAATATATTTTTAGTACTTCTACATGAAGCACTCTTCTAAAAAATCAAACTATTAAACAATCTTAATAAACATCATAAGAGAAACAAAATATATATTAAAGACAATACGACAGAAGCAAGAAATATATGTTTAAAGGCATAATTGCCAAAAGTCAAATCACAAGACTCAATGGAATTTAAATACTCAGTTTAAAAACTTTAAATACAGTAAGAACTTAGTAATACAGTAAGAATTTAAATAGAATTTGGTAAACAGTTTGATTCCAGAGTAATACAGTAATGCAGTAAGAACTGAGTATATCTGTTGTAGTAAAATATAGTCTGATTCCAAACTGAGTATCTGTTAATAGTAATTTAATAATTAATGGAATAAACTGTTATATAAAAAATTCTTAAAGCTACAATATAGTCTGATTCCAAATTGTATATTGTTCAAGCATATTAATGAACACTGCTCATGTTCATAAGTCTGATTCCCTGCCAGTATATAACATGCTTGAATATAGTCAATATACTTATATACCAGTGTCAAACAATATACAATTGTTAAAAAATTGTTAATAAAGCAGTGTTCTAACACTACAATATATATTATATAGTATTATGATATTATCATTGGCATATAATATGTAATAAACTAAAAAACTCTAAAATAATACATATTTAATTAATAAACTATCACACAAATTGAATTCTGTAAAATTATACAAACAGATTTGTAAATATAAATAATTTAAATAATTTTACAAATATAAAAACTAAAATACTTAAAAAACTTGCAAACTTAAAAGTCTTAACTTTTTTTCAGTTATCTATCAAAACTTATAAATAGTGAAAGATAATACTACGTATATATCAGTTATCTAACTTTTTATTTAAATAATTTTAATATTTATATAAATATATAAATATAACAACTTAATATAAAAGAGAATAAATAGCAGAAGACAAAAAAAAAGGTAAAGAGACTTACCTCTGCGACGCGAGATAGCAGCGAAAGAAAAGTCGGAAAACTCAAACGCGAGATACAGCGGAAGCAAAGAAAAAAAATTGAATGGGAATCGGCAGAGTAATTTCATCTGACACTTCCCTTAGGCGCGAAAGGCGCTCGCCTCTCAGTAGCGCAAAAGGCGCTAAAAAGCGTGCAAAGCGCTCGCCTCTGAGAACCTGAGCCGCCTAGGTATGTAAAATGCGATAAACCTATCGCCTGTATGCGCGTCACGCCTTTGCGCGCCTCAGGCGCGCTTTTTTAAACCAAGCTCGAACTAAAATAAAAACAAGTACAACTAAAGAAACAATAATACTGAAATAAAGTCTTTACACAAATCTCTTCCTGGCACGGAAGTGGTTCCGAAGCGGGTGCAATATGGGTAAATACTAAATTCTCCTTACTTTGTTTTGAATAGGTGTAGAAACAGGTGGAGTCAAAAACAATTTTTACTGCTCTATCATTTTCTACGCATCCAAAAAAGGTAGATAGAAATCCCTGACCCAGCGAAGATAGCCGGGACACCACAGAAGTCCTCACACTAAGGGAAATAAAACACACTAGAGCACCAGTACACATAAAACATTTTTGCCTCTCAAATAGTTGATCCAAGAATAAAGCAAAATGGCTCACTAAACTGTCTGCGCTTCTTTGTTATGAAGCAGCAGTCAGTCCATGCAGTTTTGGACGCGATTTTCACTATGGGTCTTCCGGAAACAGTCTCTATGTGCTTTAGTACAAGAGTAAGACTGCGTACATCCGACCCCCCCTTACCCCACCATAGGTGGGAGCCTTTGCGCACTGGGGTAAAGGAAAAATGAAATGAAATAGTTGATCCAAGTGTTTCTACCACACAATCAGATGAATGCAGTTATATAGTAAAGAGTATAGCACAAAAAGTGGTACAAAAGTTATTTTTTTTGTTTTGCTTATTTGGCTAAATGAAAGGAAATGACATTATTAACCTCATTCTTGAATGTAATTTCAAGCACTACACACACACAAAAGAAATATTTGTAGACAATCCAGCTCAGTCATCCAATAATCCAATTATAAGCAATTCATCCATTTTCTATCCTTACCAAACTAAGCACCCAAAGTCCTAAGTAATACGTAGTGTAAGTTTTCACCACCAAATTAAGATGTGCCGTGTAAGAAGTACCCAATAAATGTACATAAAAATGTACATGTATCATTACAGTAAAAAAAAAGTTACTTTTTTATGCTTTTTTATGCACTATCATTTGAGGGACAAAAGCCCGGGACAACAGGTGTTTTGTTTCGTAATTAGATAGGTAAAGTTTGAGAATCGGATAATAAAACGAAACAGTACTGGTGAGTAGTGATTGCCCAACTAGTTGTGGTGGAAATCCTTTTGCTACATATACAGGAAGAATCCCAAGGTGTAAACACAATATTTTCATACCAAAAAAGTTGATGAATCATAATATTATGCAGTATTACAATTGGAAAGTTTATGCAATGTATTGGAAAATCAAATGCAACATAGTACAGTCAGGCTAACATATATATTCTCCCAATGTCACAGGATATGCAAAACATGCAAAAGATTTAAACTTCGAGGAGCTCATGGACATGAAACCCGAAACAAGAAGCGTAAATAAATTTGGGTCTCCTTTTGGTAGAACTAAGAGTACGAAAAGTGAATAAATTGAAGTCTTTGTTTGGCAGAATAAGTAGCTTTTTCGTAAATTACAGTCAGCATCTGAATAGCACTTACAAAAGGGCCATGGAAAAGCAAAGCAGGGCATAACCTGGGTCAGGGCCTTTGGGAGCAGTAGCACAAATTTGCTGATTCGGGCAACCTTGGCACGCATCGGATTTCCCTGCATCTTCCGATTGAGTACCGGGGCAATCTGGAAAGGAAATCACAGAATGAAACACAAACTGGAAAATAAAAGAGTAGTGAAACAAACCCTAGCCACTGGATGAGCAAAGAATATTCATTACTAACGTTCAGGAGCGTTGTCCGGAACTTCATTGCTTCCTCCTCCGTTGTCCATATTCTTCTTCTTCACCTCAGCTCAGGGCGGATCAAGGATTGAGATGTGGGGTGGACTAACCTGTAAATAACATTGTTACCAGGCCGGTCCTAACAAAAAATGGACCCTGCAAAAATAAAAATTGGGCCTTTTATTTTATGAAGTAAATTATAAACACAGGAATGAACTGTACACTATATTGGCAATAAATTTCTAATACTTTATGTGAAATTACAAGTTATTAATTTACAAATTAAAACAATCAAAATGAAACTATTTGTTTACAAAATCCACTTAAAAAAAGATATACTACAAACTGGAATAACTTTACAAAATAGTGAGAATGGTAAGCAGTGAGTGAGAGGCTCAAAGAATAACTTTATAATATTTGTATGAAACAAAATCAATTAGCTAGCATTGGGAGTGATGGTGAGTGATGACGATCTGGAAGAGTGGACGGGCATGAAAAATCCAAGAAAAACTCTGTAAGTCTGTAGCATAAGGGCTTTTCTTTCTTCTTCTCCTGTTCAATTTCCTATCCCACACCGGTTAGTGAAAATTTCCTTAGCCCCAGTGTTCTATAAATAGGCTTTCTCCCATGCGAGAAGCAATTTAAATTGTAACTCTTGTTTATTGGGCCACCGAAGCATTTTATAAATGCCTCAATGGAAGGCCCGCCAGGGAGTTTTTTTATTTGCTTCATTTGAGAACTAGCTATATTACGTTAAGAATATTATTTTTTGGGCCTTCGATTTTTTTTGGGCCCTGTACGGTCGCACAGCCCAAACATGCTCTGGGCCGGCCCTGATTGTTACTATAGTTTAGCTCAGGGTTGTTATTGATTCCAGCTTTTTACGAATTATATACTCGAGTTCGACTGTTTGAGCTTGATTTTGCCTCTTTAGTGACCCAAGCTTAATGAGCTTTGAACTCAAACAAAGACTACATTTTGAGTTTGAATAATTATTCAAGCCCAATTCGAACATAATGATGTTTGATTTGATCGGGACCCGAGCCTGTAGTTCACTAAAATTATAGGAATAAATTAACAACCAGGCTTGAGGTACACATTTTTGTACACACACTTACACACTCGTGTCTGTGAAGTGTTTTGTTTTGTCTGTATACAGACACAACTTATTTCACAGACACTACAAATGCGTTGTGTCTGTATGCAGACAAAAAAAAACTTCACAGACACGATTGTGTAAGTGTGTGTACAAAATATGTGTAACAATAATTTTTTTTCATAAATTAAATACAGAGTATATCTTAAAATTTAAACATTTTCAGTGCAATTTTTTTACAAAATTTCCTTTTTGGGTGGTCCCAAAATGATATTCCACTTTTCATTTTAAGTATAGAAATATGGTTAACGTGACAAATTTACTCTTACTCTAATCTACCACCGAATCTACCCCACTCACCTCCAAGTCACATATGAGTGACGTTAGTTCTCATTTTCTTACCCACCCATCCATTGTCACTACAAAAATTCTATAGGTACCCCAAATTGTACCCCAATTTGTACCCACCCCCTGAATTGCCTGTGTACACAGGCAATTCGTTTGAAAGAGGGCAGAACTTTCTACCCAAATGTCTGTGTACACAGACGGTGTACACTTTGGGGTACAAATTGGGGTACCCCAAGCAGCTCTCTTGTCACTATCACCTATCAATTTCTCGGTTTCTCCCTATATTTCCATTCGAACCAACAACAATCTCCAAACAGCTCCGTCTCCGCCTTATTCGGTTAAACAGCTCCGGCCCCGTGGTTCACCAACTGAAAAATTCCCAGATTTTGATGAGTCGCCGCTGGCCTCGGAAAATCTCGCAGATAGTCGCCGCCGCCCTCGGACAACTCTTGCATAAGTGGAGAACCACGGCCATTGAAGTTGACCAAATCAAATGAGTCACTGCCGCCCTAAGACACCCTCATAGATGACTCGCCACCACCGTCAGGGATGGTGCAGAGGCTGCGGTTGGAGTACTACGGGGTGCCACTATTTCACGTAATCACTTATAAGAAGGCCACACAGTGCACATTTGTCTGATATTTTAGGGGTGGGATTTTGGAACCGGGAACCGTGGAACCGAACCGTTAACAACATCTAGGAACCGAACCGTTAACAATTAATGCCTCATTTGTAGGAACCGAACCGAAACGGGTTATAACGGTTCGGTTCCCGGTTCCTATAAAAATATGTGCATGGAACCGTTAAGGAACCGATATTTAAAAAAATAAAAAAATAAAATAATATTAGTAGTAGTAATAACAATAATAATAATAATATAGCAATAATAACCACCACCACAACAACAATAATAATAAACCAATATAAGATATTTAACTAACAATTCTAATTTAATCAATGGAAAAGAAATAATAAATATTGTACATGAGGTTGATATAATACATTAAACTCCTTTCTACAAATCAAGTTTTGTTCCATCACATAAATTGTATAAATATAAAATAACTCAAATAACTTGTAGTTGATTGCACATATTTTACTTTACTATTTTCATGATATTTCTAATTATTAGATTCATTATGAATCAATAGAATGTAATAATGTTTTTTATATCTATACATGCAAACTCAATGTCTTTTTTTATGTTTTGAAAGACTTGAAGTAGGCGTCCTATTCTTGCTACTATGATGACGAGTAACCTTCATCGCTCCGACACTACAACGATTTTTAATGTTTGATTTACTACATGAAAATTCAAATCACTTTTGTTCTATTAAGTGTTCAAAGTTCATTAGTTAAGTTTGAGCTTTGATGTTTGAAGTGATTAGAGCTTCAAATAAAATGTTAATACTCGTGTTTTGAATTTTCGACGTGTTTAAAATTATGTGTTAATTCTTAGACGAGAAAAAATTATTCTAGGAACCGGTAAAAGGAAGAACCAAACCGTTTACTACCGGTTCGTTTCCATAACGGTTCTTGATTTTTTATATAGGAACCAAACCGATTTCATTAGTTAAAATTTTTATAACGGTTCCACTCATTTTGAGTAAGAACCGAACCGGTCCCAGCCCTAGATATTATTGTAGTTGTTGTGTAAATTTTATTTTCTCTGCTTTTTTATTTGTCCTCTATGTCTACATCATATGAAGAAGGGCAAAATAGGAAAGTAACTATCAACTTCTATTTTTTCTTAATCCTTGTGCCAGTTAACATTTGCAATTCTATTCGGGACAAAGGGAGTATCACTCCCTCCATCCCAATTTGAAGGTACCAAAACTTTTGGGCACAAAAATTAAGAAAATGGGTTAAAAAGACACATATAACCTTAATGAAGCTACCTTTATTCTTTTTTTTTGTTTTTGTTTACGGTGGGTAACTTTAAAAAGCAAAGTGGCTTTAAGAATGATTTCATTACTATTCATTGAGTGTACTTGAACATCACATCCGCATTCCACACGACTCAATACACTACAATTGTAGCTTCCCTCCTAAGTCCTAAGCATCCTTCGTAGAAGCCAAAAAAAGAAGGAAATGAAAAATAAAACATCTAAAATGACAACCTGAAAATGACAACCTAAAAATACAAGTTCATCCCTATAAATACAGCACCATTGAGACATTAAAGACTTCATCTACTTTCAGCTACCACCATAAATGGATGTCTTAAGCTCTGAGTTTTCCCCATCACCTCCTAACTCTCCTCCACATGCAACTGCTAGTCAACTTGGCGCCTGCACCTGCACAAAGATCAAGACTTACAAATAAAGAAAGAGAACAAATCAAGGAATATTTTCTAAAGAATGTGGATGGCTTTGGGGGACTTCAGCATGGTGTAATCAATAAAGGTGCAGAAACTTTTAACGTGTCCAGAAAAGCTATGTTTAGAATATGGCATACTGTGAAGCAGCATTTACGGAGTGGACAACCCATAGATGTAAGACACAAGCTCACTAGAAATGTTGGCAAAAAAAGGGTAAGTGTGCCCCTTCAAAGTTTCAAAGTCAACCTCTCATGCCCTAAAAATAACTAGAAGCACATTACACATAATGAAGCAGAGAGGTGAAGTTAAAGCACATACAAGCACCATAAAGCCATTTCTGACAGAACAAAACAAAAGAACAAGGTGTGAGTTCTGCATTTATCACTTAATTGAGTTAATTCCAGATTCCTTAGCACACACTCCCACCTTTCAAGGGTTTGAAAAATTTATCCACATTGATGAGAAGTGGTTTAACTTAACCAGGATTATGACAAGAAGGTACATTCATGAGGGAGAGACCCCCCCCCCCCCCCGGATAGGCATTGTAAATCTAAAAGGTTTATAACGAAGGTGATGTTTCTGTGTGTTGTGGGCAAACCAATTTTGGGTAGTCAGGAGGAAGTCATATGGAATGGCAAAATAGGGATATGGCCATTTGTGGAGAAGGTGGAAGCATCAAGAAACAGTAAGAATAGGCCAAGACATACAATGCAAACAAAGCCAATCTTATCAGTTACAAAAAAAAAGTACAGGGAAATGCTACTGACTCAACTCCTTCCAGCCATCAAAGCAAAGTGGCCAGTAGCATTAGACAGGGAAGTAATCATCCACACATCCAGCAAGTGAGGATGGGTGTAATATAAGGCTATCAATGCAGCCACTTAACAGTCCAGACATGAATGTCCTAGACTTGGGGTTTTTCAATTCCATACAATCTTTGCAGTATCAAACATGCATTCACAAGGTTATCCCAAAAAACACTAAATCATGTTTGGCTAACACTTCAACTCACAATGGCAGAAGTTATCAAGGTGAAGGGGGGAGGAAATAACTACACCCTTCAGCACATTGGAAAGCAAAGATGGGAAAGACAAGGTAATCTTCCTACCAACATTGTAATGGACAAACAGATAGTACAAGATGCAATCAACCATCTCAACGGAGCAGCAGAAACAATCTAGACTCAGTTGCACAATTTTTGTATAAGTAAGTGAAATGACTCCCAGTTAACAAAATTATCATCATAGAGATGTTAGAATGCATCATCCATCTCCTTGATAAGTTGGTTATCTTCATGGAGTGTATTCACAATTAGTGGTTATCTACTCACTTTTTGCCCATCTTTTTTATTGAGTAGTTTGCCAATATATGTAATTGTAACTATTTCAACTTTATTTGTAATCTCAGATGTTTCATGTTTTATGACTCACAACATCAATGATCACAAGCATTCTTAAAAGCATCACAAGCATTCTTAAAAGCACATAGAATTTCACAAGCTCACATATAATCTTATAAGCATCAAAATCAGAACAAGGCTCTTTAATTTGCACATTCAGTTAGTACATGGGTGGCCATCAAGTCATCATATTACCTCCTACATGTACATAACCACATTCACACACCTAGGCATAGTCATCACAGTCAAATGAATCAAGCACATCCTCACATAATTGTTCAGAGGCTCACATACAAGTTCACAGGCTCACATACAAGTTCACAGGCTCACATATAGTCTTATAAGCATAAAAATCATAACAAAGCATGTTTAGTGTGCACATTCATAGTACATGGGTGGCCATCAAATCATCATATTACCTCCTACATGTACATAACCACATTCACACACCTAGGCATAGTAATCAAATAAATCAAACACAGCCTCACATAATTGTTCACAGGATCATATACAATCCGACACTTAATTACCAAGCATCTCTAAAATTACACCACAATTAGCATCATTAGTCAAGCCCAAATGCAAATACTAGCAAAATACGGAGTAATAAGCGAAGAAAGAGGTTAGATATACAGACAGTGGAGGAGGCAAGGAAATCACATCGGCTAGAATACAACAAACATGGTAGAATTAGCTCAACCCATTTGTCTCCACCCGCCCTGTGTTTCGCTCCACTCCACAACCTAGGGTTTCTTTAATCGCCGCATGCAACATTCTTTACATCCTGAGATGTGTATTGTATCCCCTCAATCTTACTCTGAAACGAATATTTCCAGAAAGAGCAAGGCATCGGGTAAAGGATCCACACATTGAGGAGCGGGACAAGGCATCGAGTAAAGGATCCACACATTGGATCCACACATTCCAGAAATATGTCTTTAATGGTGGCATATGTATTGTTGACGACGAAGAGGAATGAGGGGATACAGAGGGACAGAAATGAACAAAGGGACGAAGGCTACAAAGAGGTGAGATACGAAGGCAACAGAGAGGTAAGAGACGGGGATGAGCATCTAGAATACTCCATACTTCGTAATCAGGTATGAGGGAGGAGGTAAATGGGATAAGGTTAAGTAGGGTATTAGGATATTAAATGAAGGATATATTTGTCCTTTGACAATTAAAACCTTTCCAAATAAGGAAATGGTACCATCATTTTGGGACATCCCAAAAAGGAAATAAGATATCATCAAATTGGCCTCAAGTACAACAATACTTCCATAAACACATGAATAGAACATAACAAATAATTTCTCAGTTGATTAACCAATATTCTCCAAAAAAATATCTATGTGCCCATTATGAAATGCTAGAATTCATATTCTTGAGATCATCTATACTTTCTCAGAGTAAGATACAATTCACATACCAATCTTATATTATATCATCAATATTCCATTTTCTATGATCATTGATCGACGCTATTTTATAACCTTATATTATGTCACATAAATTCTCCCTTAATTAGTGATCACACAAGTATATGGAAACACAATTAATCATTAATCATATTAATGCATATATGCTAACAGCTACATCTACCATACTCAAACTTTAAGAATCCTCCTCCAGGCATGCATGCAATGAATTCCCTCAAAGCTATAGCAATCCTCACTCTCTAAAGAGTCAGGCCGGGGATAACACCTACTATAGCTAAGTGAGCTTAAAATCTCAGGATTATTAGTTACAACACTGGCTGGACTCATGCAGGATTTTTAGTTAGAACACTGGCTAGACTCATGCATCCAATCAAAACCCTGCTCTATGTATTTTCGTGCCATCGCAATGCAACTGGCAATGGGAACGGTTTTTTTCATCACTTCTACCCTACAGGCCTTCCATCCATAAAAGGCAACTGCTTAACAAGGCTCCAAGCCAGCCAACCATGTACGTAGAGCAGTAACCAGAATAAAAACAAGATGGTGGAAACACATCTTCTAGCCACACAGAAAGAAATGACAGCTCGCCTGTGGGTGGAAAAACCGGTGCTTGGGCAAAAACTTCTGGATACAGTCCAAACAACGTTTCTCTAAACAGAAGGTCTCTTCATAATCACAGTTGCTCAAGCAGCACCCACAGCTTTTACACCGGGAGTTGCAGAAAGTGCAAGCCCTGCACATCTGCGTGCCCTGGTGGGTGGTCCCTTGGCAGCTCTCTGCAGGGCAATCATACACTAGCCTTAGTTGCTGGCACTTCGGGCACATCTCAATGTCAATGGCCCAGTCATCATCAACAGACAGATACAACTGCCCCCCTTGATAAAATCGCGGATTGTGGTGCACACTTGAAGGTTGGGTGGTGTTTTCCATCACGCCTAAAAGCAGCTTCAAGTCTTCATAGTGTAGGTTTGTTATGCCGAACAGTCCACCAATTCTTAGACACTTTATCCATGTGTCCCGCTTGTTGAAGACTTTTAAGTTAGACACCAGTTCTTCAATACTAAGCTTCATGCATCCCGCTACACTTAGCTGCAAGGGATAAAATGTGTTAGTGCAGGAAAACAGTGTTTATCCCACAAAATGAATCACTTTATTAAGCGCTTAAAATCTACAAAAGACTGCTATTTTCCGTTTAAGATTAAACTACTAGTAATTATAAAATTAACCTTTCCCAGTACAGCCACATAAAAAAATGGCACACCAAAAGTAGCACTCTTACTGCTAATCACATCCAATGCACGCATACTCCTATTTTAGGGTCATCACTAATTTTCTAAAAAGTTGACAAGTGACAAGCATACCTCTATTAGTATCTAGAATCAACAAGGAAAAGTGAAATAAACACATGAGCAAGGTTTAAAAGGAGGTTCGGGTATCAAGGCGGTTTGTTCCTAAGACGCGAGGCGTAAGCCTTGAGGCATATCGAGACGTAAGCCTCAAAATATATAGACATAAAACTTAAAATAGTTAAACTAGTAACAAACAACTAAAGAAGTAAAGGATATATTCATATGAGCTAATACCGGTAAGTGTGAAGTCCAAAACGTGTGAATCACAATCACATATGAGCTAATACTGGTAAGTCATTAGAATTCAAACACACAAACAAAAACATCACACACAAACAAACATATCACACACAGAAACATCACACAAACTGAAAGATGAATAGAAAGTATACGTTAACAACTTAGGGTTTAAATGAATAAGACTTGTTAGGGTTTAAATGAAATAAGACTTGTTAGGGTTTAAATGAAATAAGACTTGTTAGGGTTTAGTGTGGCCACATGTTTAATTAATGGACTTCTATCTAAAAAGTACTCTGACCTTTTATTAAATGAAATGCCTTGGGCCTTTTTAAGTTACTGGACATTAAAAACAGAGAAACAAAGGAAAAGCGACTCAAAAATGCCTCAGGGCGCACGCCTCAACTTTTGAGGCGTAAGCCTCTTAACCTGCAAAAAAAAACCTAAGCCCTGATACCCAATATGTACGCCTCACCTTGAGGCACGCCTCAAACCCCGCCTCTTAAGCGCCTTTTTAAACCATGCTCGCGAGAACAACTTGGGCAATACAATGTTTCACTTTATTGGTTGGTAAACGGCCAATTATTTTTTAACAAAGTGCATTTAGAGTTCACGGACTGTCATTTGAGAATGGTAGCACACTTCTAGTTTTTTTGCAGGTATATAATTAATGAGTAGTATAACAAATACATTGTGCACTAAATTGAAATTGTGATTAAGCAAATAAACAATAAAGAATGCTGAAAGACAGAACTTTGAAGTTTGAAGCCAATCATTAACTATCTCACATTGTCACATACTCATATACTCTCATCATCAACAATAACAACATCCAAGCCTTAATCCCAATAGATTTTGGGGTCGGCTAATGAATTGATTCATGATATCGATGCCAAAAAGAGAAGACAAACAAGAAGAAAAATAAAAGGAAAAAAAGTAAGATAAAACGGATAAGATAAAGATACATAAATATAAAATAAAAATAGCATAAGAATATAAGAAAGATAAAAGATAAAAAGATAAAAGTGCATAAAAAGCTAGAAGATAAAAAACATAACAACATAAAAAGATAAAGAAGATAAATGATTATGCAAAGCACTGAGATGAAAAAGCATAAAAGTAAGAAAATGACATAACATCATATATGCGCAGCGACTTACCTTTGTCAGTCTTTTATTCCTTTCAAGAACATTCTTCAAACCACCATCCGTGATCTTCAAACACTCCACAAGACTCGAACAACAAAGCTGTCCCTTGGCCCTGTTTGCCAACTGTAATAAAGCTTCATCTGTAATCTTATCACTCAAAGGATGATCTATCTTTATATTTCTCCATATGAGCGGATCGTTTTGCACTACACAGCATAAAGATCTGCAAACTTGCTCCATAGAAAGAAGGTCATCAACGCCTAAATAAGAGAGAGCAAGAAACAAAGCATCTGGGGGATCATCAAATCCTTCGCCCTCAAAAACTGTCCCAGAGAACGCCCCCCGATTCTTGAAGGACTCACCGTTGCCGTCTTTGAAAATCCAATATTTTTCGTAACTGAAATCCATTATCTCCTCCACATTACAGTCCAAAAATAGGTGGCCAGAAAATAACTGATTATCTACTTGCCCCACTCCAATAAACCCTAAGTCCCTCTCGATATCCTCAATCCAACCAGTTATGCTGGAGAGTTCAGTCACAGTTGTGTCAATGTCCATTTCAAACGGATCATGGGGCAACAGATCAGCAACATCGCCTGGCGCCTTCTGGATTAACTTCCCCTTTCCACAATCGGATCCCCGTGATCTGGTCAAGTAATCTAGATTTTTATCCGGGCAATCTTCCAAGAAAGCCATGTTCTCAATCTTGATACCGATTTCTCCTCGATGCAAAGCCATCAGGGAAATCCAATCAAAATGTAGCCGACCATATCAGAAACATGGCCATGGCAAGAAATCCTAAATAGCTACATTTGGAGGAATCTTAAAATTCACAACAATTAACATGCAGCCGCGATAATAACCCAAAGAATCTGAACACCCGCATTCTACAAGAAGAGGATATAGCACTTCCAATTCTAGAATGCATAGACAAAAGCACAGCTTGTCGCAAACCCCCAAAATCTAACATCTAACAACCAACCCACTAGTAAAACTCGCGCACGCAGATAAAAAAACGGAAAAAAGAAGCGACAAAAAACAGTTGTTATGCTCTGGATGAATACGGACCTAGCAGGATGAAACACAACAATAAAGAAAGGAAGGGGCAAGAAAAAGATTTAGGATTGATATAGAAGAAAAAGAAAAAAAGAAATGGGTGGTGATGATGATGATGATTAAGAATCTAGAGTGACCAGAACCTTTGACCAATTTCGCATGTATATATACAAAAAAAACGACACACACGCAGCAGGAGAAGAGAAAGGTTACCCTGGAAGAGAAATAGAAGAGCTTGGCGAGGAAGGGGAATTGCTCTAATTGTAGTGGATGAGAGAGAAATTGAAAACAAATTATTTTTTAGGGGTGGGACTTTGTAACCTAACCGTGAAAACAAGTACGGGGAACTTTTTTTTATAGAATTCGCCTTATATTATTAAAAATCAATAATTTTTCACAGTATGAGTCAAAAGACAGAAAGAAATCTAACAACCGTTATCCCTCAAATCAGATTCGGAATTAATTACTGCAACAATAAAATTCGCTGATCCATTATTGGGAAACTCAAAGCCAAAAACGGTCACCATATTTCCCTCAACCCCCATATCCAAAACCAATGTCTTACAAACTGGAAAGTAAACAAAGAAACAAACATCCAAATAAAAACAACAATCAATATAGTAGTAAACAAAGCAAAATAAAAAACACTTCTGTCGCAGCCATAGCACCCAAGATATCCCTTTGACTGACGACCTCCATCCTGCAACCTGCATCTTCGGCGGGCTTATGGACCAAAGCCCGCCTCCTCCCCGTTTTTTGGTCCGTCCAAAGCCATGGTGTCCTCCACTTGCTCCTTCTCTGTCTGAGTCTCCCATATCTTCCTCCTCTTAGAAACCTCTTCTTTTGGCTCCTCCCCACCTTGTGTGAAGCTTTGTACTGATTCAGTCATTGATACTTTCTCCTTTTCTGCTATCTTTCCATCTGCCTTGGATTCCCCTGGGCCCCTACCTGTTCTGTCAGAGCTCGATGAACCCTCTAAGAGCCAACTCTGCCCTCCTGTCGGGCTCGTCTTCACCCCACTACCTGCTCTTAATTGGGGTCCATATCTTTTTTCTAAAACTAAGCCTTCTTCATAATTTAGGGGACAAAATTATCCGAATGTCCAATCACTCCACAGATAAAGCAAAAGTTGGGCAATCGTTCATATTTAAAATCTACCCAAAAACTTTTACCATCTTTTTTCAGATTTGTCACCTTCTTCAGCGGTTTATCCACCTTCATAAGAATCCTAACTCTCATATATGGCTCTAATTTATCCTTTTTCTGGTTATCATCATATCTAATAAACTCACCTATAAAATTTCCCACACGCCTGACAGTACCCAGATTAATAAGACTATGTGGAACATTATGAACCTGGACCCAAAACTCAGACTCATTTAAAATGATTTTGTGTGGAATATCATCAGGCATAACTTCTTTTAACATTACCAGACTACGTTCAAACTGCCAAGGGCCTCCATCGAGCACACGCTTCATATCAAAACGATGATTAAACGAAAATAGGTACCTTTTTTCAGCGATATCCTTCACCGTCATACCTTTCCCTGGCCGCCAAAGCGAAAACATCGTCTCTTTGAGATCCGGAAATTTGACCTTGCGGTCGGTAAGGACTTGGCCGATCACAGGGAAGCCAATCACCGCCTCCTCCACCGGACTGCTCTCAACCTCCCCTTCATCAAGATTCAGTTCTTCTTCGTCATCCTCGATCGCCATCTGCTTATACCGGTCAACGACGCTATCCATAAACCTTCGGTAACCCCTTGCCTCAACCGCTTATTCTGATAACAAGAACACCGCTCTGCACTCTTCGTTCCTCCCTAAAACTTCTCGGACTACCTGGATATAAAACCACGCCCGCCGCCCTCTTCCCCAATCCAAACCCTCCACCCAGCACCTTCTTAATCACCACCTAGAACCGCCCAAAGCAACCAAAAAAAACTCACCCTTCGAATACACGAAGGCGGACAAACCAACGCTAAGGGTTATCGGCCGATAACCCTAGAGAGAGAGAGAATTACTTTTAAGTATCATGCACCGTAAAACACTTAAAATTTTAGAAAGTCGGAACCAAACCTTTAAAAACTGGTTCAGTTCCTACACATGAATTATAAATTGTTAACAGTTCGATTCCTATTCTTTGTTAACGGTTCGTTTCTGGTTCCTACAAAAATGTGTCTACGGAACCATTAAGGAACCGTTAAAAAAAAATGAAAGTGTAACTAGTAATAATAATAATAATAATAATAATAATAATAATAATAATAATAATAATAATAATAATAATAATAATAATAATAATAATAATAATAATAATAATAACAATAACAATAACATTAACAATAACTATTATAATAGAAATAATAATAGTAATATAATCGATGATACTTAGTCACACAACAATTTAAATTTAATTTATGGAAATGATGAGGATGAATACACTAACCTCGTTTGTTACAAATCATATTCTGTTCCATTACAGAAATTTCATAATCATAAAAGTAACCCTAATAAATTCGTGTTGGTTCGATATATTTTTTCTTTATAATATTCAAGGTGATTGTATGTGTGAGATTTAGTATAAATAATGCTCCTAGAATTTGAAATGTAATGATGTTTATATTTGTACTTGCGCATTTAATATGTTTTTTAAAATTTTGAAGAACTTGAACTAGACGTCTTATTCTACTATGATGACCCAATTTTTATTGACAACGATTTTTCATATTTTATTTACAAACAAAATTAAAAGAATTATTTCTTTATATTAATTAAGTTTGGACTTGATACTTGAAGTGATAAGAGCTTCAAAAAGTACTTATTGCTTGTGCTTTGAATTTTTGACGTTTTTCCATGTAGAAAGTAAGTTGCATGTGTTAATTTTTTTATGGAAAAAATTTATGTTTAGGAACCGATAGTATTCTCATGCCAAAAGAGATGATAAATTGCATAGATCATAAAAGTAGAGGGCACTACATTCTTTTCAAATTTGACATGTTAAAAGCTTTTGATAGAGTTGCTTGGGGCTTTATTTATGACGTGCTACATGCTTTTGGCTTTCACCCTCATTTCATAAACCTCATAAAAAACAATCTTGAGAGCACTTGGTTCTCCGTTTTAATTAATGGTCGGCCAAATGGTTTTTTCAAACCTAGTAGGGGAGTCAAATAGGGAGATCCCCTTTCCCCTTTACTCTTTATTCTTGTCTCTAAAGTTCTCTCCAGGCAATGCAACAAACTGTTCAAAGAAGGTAAATGCATTCCTTTTCATATTTATCATGCTCAGCCTATCATTTCTCATCTTAGTTATGCTGATGACCTTGTCATTTTTTCTAATGCGGGTAAAAGATCTCTCAGTGCTTTGGATGGTTGTATCAAAGACTATGAAAAGTTTTCTGGTCAAAAAATTAATACCAACAAAAGTTTTTACATTACTAGTAAACATGCCCCTACTGCTACACTTAAAAACGTGGAAAATTTTCTTGGTATCCAGAAAGGTTCTTTCCCTTTCACTTACCTTGGTGCTAATATTTTTCAAGGAAGACCTAAGATCTGCCACTTTGAGAGTATTATTTTTAATATTGACAATAAACTGGCTGGTTGGAAAAACAAATTTCTTAATCCTGGGGGTCGCATTACTCTTATTAAATCTGTCCTCGCCACTCTTCCCCTTTATCACATGGCGAGTGCTATTATCCCGAAGACTGTTCTTCAAACTATTGAGCAAAAGTGTTCCAGATTTCTATGGTATAATGCTGATTTTGAAAAGCGGCAGATCTGGAGAAAATGGAACAGGATCACTTATCCCGTTAAAAGAAAACGGTTTAGGTTTTAGAGATCTTCTCACTATTCAAAAATGTTTCTATCTGAAATGTTTATGGAAAGCCACTCATAAATTTGGCCTTTGGGGGCTTTGGTTTTCTAAATTGAAAAATCCCAACAAATCCTACATGTGGAAAGGTTTGAATAATGTTAAGCATGATTTTGATACTCTTACTACTTTGGTGATTTGTAATGGCAATTCCTCCTTCTGGGATTCTAACTGGTCAGAATTTGGCAGGCTTAGGGAACATTTGAACACCGAAGACATTCTACATCCCCAGATGACTATCAAGGAAGCCCATTTCTCCTCTACCGAGGACACCACTGTTTGGACCCTTACTCCCACGGGATCCTACTCCTTTAGGAGTGCCTATGAGGAAATCAGACCTAAAAGAGACCTCCATCAAAACATTTTGAACATCTGGAACAAGAATATCCCTACTAAAATCTCTTTCTTTATGTGGAAAGTCATA